GGGGCGGGTCCTAGGGGAGACACCTGTGCTATTCCTGTTGAAGTGGGATGTGCTTTGCTTTATCAATTTGCACAGCAACCTGAGGGAATACAGGTAAAGGAGGCCATTTTAAAGGCCACCCAGGTACCTAGGGTCAGAGCTAGAGCTGGCACCTACGAAGCAGCCCACCCCTCCAGCCCAGCCCCTCACCCAGCTCCATTCCAGGAGCTGCCTGAGTTTGAAGGGGATGTTCTTGCTGTGGGCAGCCCTGCCCTGACCATCGAGGGCATCTATGAGGATGTCATCCGGGGGATCCTGCTGCAGAGGATAGATGGAGGTGAGCCTCACCCCCTATGGTTCAGGGGAGCCTGGTAACCCCTGGCTGTGTATACTGAGCCCTACCAGGGTACCCATTGCCTCACTTCCTGTGAACACTAGCCTTTTGACTCAGGGTCCAGACTGGGACAGAGGTGGACTAGCCTAGAGGGGCAGTGATAGAAGATCCCTGAGTGAGGGCATGGGAATGAGGCTCTCAGGGGTGTGTAGGACTTCTCAGGATGAGTGGAAGCAGGCAGAATTTAAAACTTCAGATAGACATTCACATTTAGTCATTCAACAATCACCACCTGTGTTTTTGTGGGCTGGCACTGAGGCCCCAAAAGTTCTTGGACTTGGGGTAGGCGTCTCAGGATCTCTTGCCTTGGGAAAAGGCTCCAGAACCATCTATTCTCCCTCCTGCCTTGTCTGTTCACTCATGACCCAATGTTGTGACCTCTGAGACATGTGCATTAACTTGGAGCTGAGCAGTATACCTTGGTGATTCAGGGAATGTCACCGCATCCACATGGCCTGCACAGAGAGAGGGAAAGACAACAGAAGGAGAGGAGGCTGGCGGCTGCCAAGGCAGACATGCAGGGGCTTGAATGACAGGCAGAGAGTTTAGACTTTTTTGGGTAGGCAATAGGGAGTCATGGAGGGTGTGTGAGCAGAGGATGACAGTGGCAAGACTGAAAATGAGGGAGGAGGCTGAGGGCATGGTCCTGGGAACAAATGATGGGCCCGAGCAGGGACAGCTACCAGGAGGACTAAGCCCAGTGATGAGGATGAGGCAGGAGCAGAGGTGCCAGAATTGGTGGCCTGGGTGTCACGGAGTACAAGGGAGGGGCCACAACCTGAGGATGGAGTGTAGGAAGAGGGGAGGCATCTCTGAGAGCCTGTATTTGAAGGACACAAAGAGGAAGAAGGGACACAGACAGAGCAGTTTGAGAGGTGACAACAGAGTTCTGAGACCCAGGGGGTAAGGGTGAGGACATGGGCTCCATCTGAGGGTAGCTGAACAAAAAGAAACAAGTCCCTTGAATAGGGGACCCTTTTTTTTATCCAAGGATATTTTTTCCATTGCTTTTCAGAAAGAGTGGAAGGGAGAGATGATAGGTGATAGATAGATAGATAGATAGATAGATAGATAGATAGATAGATAGATAGATGATAGAAACATTAATGTGAGAGACACACATCAATTGTTTGCCTCCCGCACTTGGTCCCGGTTGAGCCCTTGGCTAGAATCGAACCCAGGACCTTTCAGTCCACAGGCTGATGCTCTAACCACTGAGCCAAACTGGCTACGGCGAATAGAGGACACTTTAAATAAAAAAAGGCTATTCTCTGATTGGGAAAAAAAAATCCAGAGACAGTAATACCTTCATTTCCAGAGATTTTCCATGCCCTTAGGGGATTCGATCCTCAATGGATTTGTGACATCTGCTTGAAGTGCAGTGTTGTGAGGTGGAGCTGGTAGCATCTGGCTCAGTGAAGATGTTGAGGATCGGCTAGCAATGTCTGCCATGGGCACAGGCCTGGAGAGAGGCTCAAGCCATTTGTTTAGGGTTCCTGGTTGAGCTGGTTCCTCTATCCTTTGCCCTCTGGTGGCTTCTTTGGGAGAATGCATAGAAGCCCTTTGATGGCGGGGCTTCTCCAGGTGGTTCCAGGAGGTTATCTGTTGTTTTAGAATTGAAGAAGGCCCTCAGTGCCAGCGGTGTGTCCTGTACTCTGGATGGCTTCTCAGAGGCCCCATGGGACCAGGTGGGAGCAGGTGAGGACCTCACAGGTTCTTGGGCCATACAAGTGAATTGATGGGGGGTAGGGGGGCTCCTTTACAGGGTGTATGGGAAGGTTGAAAGAGTGGGTTCTGGAACAGCATCCACCTGTCTTCTGATGTGGCTGGTCTGGCCAAACTCATGGTGAACAAGAACAGTGGGGAGACATGGAGTGTGTTGGTGCCACAGAGGGACCCTGTAAGCATAGGCTCTGACATGCACATGAATTTTTGTCCCATCTCATCTGCCAAAACTCAGCAGGGCCTCTCCCAGCAGCTACTAGTTCCCAACACTGAAAGGAGAGATTGTGGTGATGGGAGCCTTGGGTTCACCATGAGCAGAGGCTCTGTGAGATGAGAGCAGGGATTCTAGAGTGGCTCACAGCTCCCTTGGGAACTGCTGTTATGAGAGCCTTGGAAACCCACCCAGCTAAACTGCTTCCACGTTCTTCACCTACAGAAACTCTGAGATAATAGATCTGTGTTGTTTTCAGCTGCTAATTGGGGGAGGGGGGGGCATTTGTTATGCAGCTATAGCTAACTAATACTGATCTAGGGTAATATCCCATAGCCAGTCGCTGCAGACAAACTGATAAATATTCACACTTACTGGGATGAGGGAAGATTAAACAGTCTTATAAAGACTTCTGGGTGTCAGAATGTTTTGTGATTTGCAATTGGCAATGAGAGATTGTAGGTGAACTCCTTAATCTATTTAACCACAATCTAAATGATGGTGGATTTTGCTTCTAGTTTTTCCCTCTAACTGGTAACACCACAGGGGATAACCTCAAATGTACTTTTCAGGCAAGTGCAGGTCTTCGTGTGTAAATCCCCCAATGTGAAATCTCACGGTGTAGAGCATGTGTGCTTGTCATTTCAACAGTGGTCTCCAGAGCTCTCTCCATCAGTATGTTCCCACCTGGTTGTTGCTTCTCACAACAACCAGGTGGCCCATTTCCCCACAGGCTGCCCAGGCTGTCAGCTAACTTGGAATTTCTCATACCTTCTGGGTGGAAAATGGTGTCTTGGCTTCGTTTGAATGAACACATGTTCTTGGAGATGAAAATAAGCATCTTTTCATGTGTTTAGGAGTGGTTTTTAGCTCTTCTGTTCCTCTCCTTGGCTCACTTATGTTCTAGATGCTTATAAATTAAGGTGTGTTTTTTAAAAAAATATATCTTTATTGATTTCAGAGAGAGGAAGGAAGAGGGAGAGAGAGGGATAGAAACATCAGTGATGAGAGAGTCATTGATCGGCTGCCTCCTGCACGCCCCTAACTGGGGATCGAGCCCACAACCCGGGCATGTGCCCTGACTGGGAATCGAACCCAGATCGCCTGGATCCTGGGTCAACACTCAACTGCTGAGCCATGCCCAGCTGGGCAAATTAAGTTTTTATTGCTAATATCCCACTTACTGAGCATTTATTATGTGCTGGGCATTTGATGTGTCCAGTTTTTTGGCATCCTTATGACTTTCCATCTTACAGATGAGGAAACTGAGGCTCAGAGAGGGACTTGCTCCAAGCAGCCAGGCTCCTGCACTGAGGTCCAGCCGCCCTGCCCACTGCCGTCTCCAGGGACATTCCAGAGCTGAATCTGTCTACAACCATCTTCATTACCAATGGATAAATGTCTACTAGTGGAATTCCTGAGTCATAGGAACCATTTTTAAAAATATATGTTTTTATTGACTTCAGAGAGAGGAAGAGAGAGGGAGAGAGAGATAGAAATATCAATTATGAGAGAGAATCATCCATTAGCTGCCTCTTGCACGCCCCCTACTGGGAATTGAGCCACAACCAGGGCAAATGCCCTGATCGGGAATTGAACCATGATCTCCTGGCTCATGGATCTATGAGCAACACCAGCAGGGCCATATGAACCATTTCAAGGCTTTCATAACCAACTCACCTCCACCTCACTCCTTTTCTGAAAGGCTGTGCCTTTTTACCAGCAGGATTTGTGCACATTCTCCATATCATTTCCAAACATTAGGAATTTTCATAAAAGAAAAAAATGTCAATTTGATAGGCACACATATTTCATTTTTTAATTTTTAATTTCTTTGATAACTAAAATGAATCTAAAAATATGTTTATTGGCCATTTATATGTTCGTGGTTTTTTTATTGAACTGTTCGTGGCTCTCTCTACTTGTTTTCCCCGGGAGATTTTATCCTTGTTGATCTCTGATAACTCTGTGTATATTAAGGATATTAACACTTTGTCTCCAGGTTACAGATATTTTTTCCTCAGCTTGCTGTGGGCCTTGTGAGTTTGTTTACTTGTTCCAAATTTTAACTTGGTATCAAGTTTCTCAGTGAGAGAACTTTTACGGACTTCTCTGCTTGCCAGAAAAGTCATCTGTTCACTGGAGGTTGGCAGCTTTCCCACATCACAAGCCTTCCAGCTGCTTCCGGAGCAGGTTCCGGAGGGATTTCCCTAATATTCTTCTCGGTTCAGCTTTCAGAGGGGGACCTGCACACTCCACAGAGATGGTTTCCTCTCATTCTATCTTGGAGTTTTAAGCCTCCCCCAAGAGAATATGGTTTTCCTCACGTTTCCTGACTTTCCCCCTCCACCACCATCTTCTGAGATACATTTGTGCTTCACAGCTTTGTCCAGCTGGCTTCTTTTTACCCAGGATGTTGAAGTTATTCTGGGAAAATTGCAGCAACAAGAATTTGAGAAAACCACTGTTTGCCCTGGAGTCTAAATCCTTCCAGTCTTTTCTCAGTGTATCAGGACAAGGGTGCACTTGTCACTCTATTTTTCTTGTTTAATATGGAAGATCTTTCGTTGCCAGGTCCATAGAGCATAAACTTGTTTTTGTCTTTTTATTATGGAAAATTTCAAACATGCCCTAAAAGCAGAGATCCCCTGTGTTCCTATCAACAATGACCAAGTTTGGCCTCATCCCTTTTCCTCCTCTCAGTCATGTAACCAGTAAAGATTAGCCTGCATTTCTAAAAGACTCAGCCAAAAACTTAACTTGTGCAGATAATTACTGTAGAAAAATATCGGAAAACAAGCAAAAGAGAGAAAAGTAATGAAAGGAAGGGCATGGACAAGGGGAGGAGCAGGAAGAGAAGGAGGGGCGAGTATCACCTGACTCCATAGACACACTGGGAGATTTGGGTTTATCCTCGCCAAGTTCACTGCCCCACATTCATCCTTTGGTGGCCAGTCAGGACGCACAACCTGTGCCCTGAATTTTACCCAGCAATATTAACCCCTGCCATACACACATTAATAACATCAACAGCACTCTTAAGACTTAATTTTTAAGAATGACCCCAACACGATCAATTAGAAAATACATCCGAGTGCTGGAAAACAGTCTCCTGGTAGCATTTCTATGGAAAAGCCCATCCTGCCTCCAGAGCGCGTGCTCAGCACTTTAAAGCATCGCTTGGTTCCCCTTCATGCCAACCCCGTGGGGTTGGTATAAGCCTATTGTACAGGTGGACGTATTAAGGCTTACACAGCGAGCCCGCACGGGGCGCCTGGACACGACAGTGTCCGTGGCCTTAATACCCAGCAAGCCTTGAGGGCATCCCGGCGAGGTCGGGGACCCAGGATGGTAACACCTACGTTGCAGCCAGGGAAACTGAGGCTCAGCTCTTTTGGGTCCCAAACCAGGTCCTAACTATCCAGGTCGGCCTGGTACACCCGGGGGTTGTACGAATCAAAGTTGGATGGGCATCAAGAGCGGGTCCCGCTCTATCAGTCGCTTGGAGGCAGGGCAGATTCTGAACTTTGAGCCATTAAGCGGGAGTGGGGGCGGGGCTACCGAGGGTAAACAGCCCTCCTTTCCTTTAAGGCGGTCCGGAGGCGGGGCCTGGAAGGCGGGCGCTCTCCTCCCCTTTAAGGCGCGCGAGGGCAGCGGGGCTCTGACGGCCCCTTTAAGGCACGGCCCTCGTCTGCCGGCAGAAAAGAGGCTTAAAGGCGACGCGTGGCGCGATGGCGGCGGCCCCACGCGCGTGCCG